AGGTCCTAATTCGGAAGGAATGATGCATGCCTAAGTTGGGCATTCCTAACAGTTGCCATACGTGGCCCAAATGGTGGTGGCCGAGCGCACGCTTAAGTTGGGCATTCCTAACAGTTGCCATACGTGGCTGAAATGGGGACGGCCGAGCGCACACCTAAATTACGTGGAGTGGAGCTCTCAAACTTATATGTAGGAATATTTACAGACATCTCAGTGTCGGACGTACACTTACGTGTAGAGGTTAGGTCGCTATAAGAGAGCTTTCAACAAAATAAAAGTTTTTACAATTTAATCCATACAGTGTCTTGATGAGGTATTCCTCATGAGATTTCATTAATGTCTCCCAATGACAGCCTAATAAAGGTATTCTAATATGGGCCTAATGCGGTTGGCCTCATTGGATAGTCATTGGGAAAGCCTAATGCGGCTTTCCGAATTAGGTAGTAGCGAATATTCCGCTTTACATACCGCATGCGGACCTGATGGGACTGTCCCATTGGGGCCTAACCGGCAAATTAGGCTAGCCTAATGCGAACCTAATATCTGCCTAACTGAAATTCTAGTCGGGTACGATATAAGACAAAAATGGCGCTGGCAGAAACACAGTTCGCATAAACATACTATAGATGACATGTCGCTGATCTATTCCTATTTTGTATCATAATAACCGCACACCCGTTATCGTTCCCTTTGTATGTTGCATTATTGTTGTAACTTCTTAATAAATCTTCAAACGACCTATGTTTATGTAACATTTTTTTCCTACTTATATCCGTAGAACACACTGACAAAGTTTGATCGGAAACAATTGGGACACCCCGTATATTTCGTTAGTCACATGTTTCATGAGTAGAAAAAATTTGCAAAAAGTACTTCTATTTTAAAACGTAATTTTTTTGTATATACTTATCAGTGATAAACATTTGCGCAATTAGTCGTGCTAAGAAACGAAACACTTTAAGAAAGATTGCAATTTATATCAATCTATAAGACTTCTTAACTTGAAAACTACACGATTACGTTTATGATTTAATATGATATGTATCCTTTTTTTAAAGTACGCAGTTTAGTAGTTACATCTATCACATTTATTCCAATATCCGTAAACGTCGCGTTTGCATATGAATGTTTCGCAAAAATCTTGAAGGGAAGGTAAACGATGTCTGAAGGTAAACATGCCCGAACTTACCGGAGATGATAATGAGAGTAAGGTTGTAATTTGTAACCAAGACCTGAAGCATCCGAAGGAAATGAAAGAAGTCTGGTAACATTTAAGAGTGTTGAACAGGGTAGTAGTATTCTAGGGATCACTTAAGCGCCAATTAACATATTACATCTGAGTTTCGAAGACCTACATCGGTAATGTGATAATACATATTCAAATAAGGCTCTCGCATTTTGCAAGGGAACCGTTTGAAGGGGACCAGAATGAAGGAGGTCGAAGGTGTGAGATGAAAGATCGATAGAATAAAAGAGACTGGAGTCTCTCTTACTGAAGCAATTACATTAAACTATATTAGACATCGTTAGCTTAATCAAGTTAAATTAGACTCTCTTTAATTAATTGAACTGTTTCTTTAGATTCTCTCGGAAAGCCTCGGTAACGTCATTCGATCTGAATTATCATCAGGACGGAAGTAACCTTTAAATTATTGTCATTCGTATCAGTTTAACGTTTTATACACATACTGTGCACGGTAAATGCATTTCTAGTTTGAAGTAATTACTCCACTGAGTATTGAGTTGTACACTTATAAATGAAAGATACGTTTTCCTAAAGGAATTTCTTGTGTAATTTAATTATTATACGTTGGAAAATAATGTAATTTAAATATTGTATATGATATATGTATGTAAAACGTGTATTTTCTTTGAAAAAATTTTTTAAGAAATCGAATCGGTATTCCCTCTTCGACTGTTGACAGGTCGAAAGTAAACCACTTGCTGTGTAGGGCTGAGTTATAGCATTTATAATTATATTACATGTTACGTTAGTCAAATCCCTTTTTTATGAAAATTTTGTACTTTATATTTGTGAAATAAATAATGTGTAAATATGAAATATTGAATATGATTGTGAAGAGCGCTGATAGTATACAGCGTTCGATTATCACTGAGCATCTACATATAGCAGTGAAAGGGTTAAGTAGTAATTAAATAGGAGGTCAGGGAAAGTTTGATACTAGAATTTTCCTAATATCAAGAGTTATGTCACCGTGATACTTGAAATTTCTTCAAATTCTTTAAGTACATTATATAGAAGATTAACGTAAATTGACAAATTATTCCGTATGAAATGATATAGCAGTACAACACAATTCGTAATCGTTGAACTCCCTCACATTTGAATAGTAAAGCTGTCGAACTTTTTTGGAAGCTAGATGTAGTTTATATGTTTTAACATAATAAGCCTATCATTTTTGGAGAAAGTCACAGGGTTGAGAGACTGTTGATCATCAATTAACTTTTGCTTCAGTAATGCTTTGCAAGTGAAAAACTGATCAACGAACAATCCAAGTATAACTCATTTATGAAATTGTGAACTTATCTCACTTAGAATAATTCCCTTGATTAAAACTAAAATTGCTAAAAATTAATTAAGATAAAAAATTAAACTTTTATTCTATAATTAATCTTTCATTAATTAAAATTCTAAACTTTTATGCAATACACTTCAAGGAATGCGTTCGTTGTTCAATTGCCACCTCCTAACAATCTCCAAATAATTTCACTTCTTGACAACAAAATTAAGTTGACGTGTGACAGTTTTCAAGAAATACACAGGGTGTCAAACTTTGTCAACATGTTCTGCGGACATAAGTAAGAAAAGATAGGTTCTTTGAAGCTTTGTAAAAAAATTATAACAATACGAAACACGAGGAAAATGGTAACGGATGTGCGGTTGTTATGATACAAAATAGGAATAGATCAGCGATATGTACATCTAAATATGTAGTCTATTTATGCGAGTTGTGTTTACGATCTGAAGTCGTTAAAGGTGTTGAATGTAACTTTTGTCAGTGTCATTCTTGTCTTGTATCGTAGTAACCGCATGTTCGTTACCGTTTCCTTCGTATTTCGTATTTTTGTTACAATTTTTTAACGATGCTCCAAACGACCTATGTTTGTATTAGGTCCACGCAGAAGTTTCCATCCCTTGTAAATTGATGGCGCTAAAGGCGCTGTTTGTTCCTTTTCTTATTTAAATTTTCATACGCGGTATTTATACTGAATATATGTAGGTGTTAATGTTATATTACTAGTATTCTTATGAGAACTAATTATAAATATACAGTAGAGACTCGATTATCCGAGGTGATGTGCCTACCTCGCATAATCGAAAACTCGGATAATACGGAAGAATCGATGGGTGTTCATAATTCCTGCAATAAAATGATAAAAAACATTTTGATAATGTAAAATTGTACACGTATTTGAGTCTAATCAACTATTTATTAAATAATTATCTAACTACGTTTTAAATAATACTAATACTATTTATTAAATGATTAATTAAACTTAAATACACGTACTATAATACATTATCAAAATGTTTTTTATAATTTTATCGAACGATTTATGAATTCCCATGAATGACCCATCGGCTAAAAAAAATGTAATTTTTAAATTTTATTTAAGTTCAAAGCACCTCGGTTGAACGTGGCGCGGATAAACGAGACTCCACTGAAATAAAAAATAAATACACATTCTCCTAAAATATGCGATCGAAACTTTTGCATATACCTAATATAACACTTTTTTTCTTACTTATTCTACTCACAGAACATATAAAGTTTGATCGAAAAGAACTGGGACACCCTGTATATATGCAGGCAATCGTGTAATAAACTTCAAGAGCTGAAGTCTTTACAATAAAACAGGATTAGGATATTTAAAATGAATTTTGCTCCAAATAAAGTTAGACATGGAAAATATTGCATTTACAGGCATTATGATGGCATAAATACCGGAATAATATTCTAACTGTAACTTCAATGACCTCTACTTTGAATTAACGATTCACATATAAAGTGAAATTGATGCATCAGATTATACTTAATTTACGAATTTTAATGGAATCGAAACTGATTTCTGTTTGAATTTTCTAATTCGTTGGATGCGCCGTCATTAAATAAATGCCGAAATTTATTTCAAATTTAAACTGATAACATTTGAATTTACTTTAAACTCGTCGTCCTCCGTAAATTCACTGTAACAAGTTCAATTGCCCAACCTATATTATAATTAAGTTACCTATACATATACATATATACACCCTTACGTATTTTGTAGCCCACGTTTTATTCTTGAATTGAACGGGAATGAAATTTTCATTTGCCAAAGTGCAGAATACATGTCCAATTATCTCGCGACTTTACCAAACGTCCTCGTATTGTCGTTTTATTTTTAATTCCATTACACTAATCGAGAAATAGTTTAGAACGAGATTATTTTCAATCGCGTTACTCCGGTTATAAAAAACACGTAACATATAATTTTACGCTGTTTTTCGACATATCGATCCGTATAGGGGAATTTAATATTGGGCCAAATTGAAATTTCAATTTCACGCTTTCTCGATTTCACTGGCAATAATTACAAATTGCGACCATGCTGTGTAAGAATCAGCAGTTGATACAGTTAATATAATACGTCCAGCGTATCGCGAATCTGTACTTACATTAAACTACCGACAAATTGAACCATCGTGAAATTAACTTACATTCGATATCGCGAAGTGATAATCACCGATTTTGATGAAGTTTTGGTTATTTGGTAGATCTCGCAAAAATATTGGATAGCTATTTTTTTTTTATTGGCAATCCTTCACATTGAAGGCGTGAAAGTCGTCCTCATAGATGAGGGTAATAAACATATTTTTTAATCCTTTTTATATTTTTCAAATTTCAAATTTGTTGTTGAAAAATACAAATTTCACCAATTTTCATAAAATGTAAAAAATAACGCGACCTTAAAATCTCAAAGTCGGGGATAGTAAATAAATTAAGTCCAATATGTATCTCGAATCGCTAAAATTTCCCAAAAGTAGGGAATTTTTTGTCAGATTATCCGAAACGCCTGAAAAATCGTGGCAACAGTACACTCTGTATAGTGAGAATGAAATCATTAGAAAATGAAATTTACTAAATTTGATACAGAAATTTAAACTTGATAAAATGTAATTCTTGAGAAATATGTAAATGTTTAATTTGCAAATTTGTCCTGATTTTGTATATTTAAAAAAAAATTGAATATTAGTATTTTGAAGGAGAATTTCAAGTGAAAAAAATATGCACGGAACATGCTATCTACTTTATTTTCTTATTTCACGATAACGTTGTTGTTTGACTGTTCACGCCTGTAAATAGAATTTCATACTTCAATTCTAATGGAGTTGTAAAATAGACTGCTACAAAAAATACGTAGGACGTTGCACGAAAGGCATGGTTGTAAGTATGACTACTTACCTGGTAATCTTACAAATTGATAGAAAAAACGCTGCTACTCTAGCCAATTACGTTTAACTGTTTATAATTATATGTTTCTAATTATATAGTTTTCTCGTGTAATAACCAACATATATGTAGGTATTTTTTATTTCGTTTTTGAAATATCGAAAATATAAATTATAAAGCAATTTTCACTATCGTCATTATCCTGATAATAATCTAATTAAACATTTCAGTACGAAAAATCTCTAGGATTACTGTACTATTACACATTTGCAAAGAACCAAAGTGAAATATTAAAAGGCTAATAGTAGGTGTATTTCAAGCTAGTATTAACGTTCGCTACCTGTTAATATAGGAGAAAACAATTTGTCGTTTAAAACGACCGTTAAATATAAATGCTTTTGCGTTAAACTCCTACTCATTAATCAACACGTTAATTATCGTAATTCCTTTTGAGGTGTATCACAAATTCCATTTTGTTCTGTGCAAATACATTCGTTTTAAGGGTAGTAGTATCGAACAGGACATCCGACATAATGTGCATAAATTATTATTATACGTGCGAGTTCTTATTAATATTTAAAGAGTGAAGAAATCCACTAATCAAATCATTTTCCGTCGTTAATATGCAAGATAACAGTTAATTGCTGTTAACGATGAATTAAGAGGGGGAGAGAAAAAAAAATGGAAGGCAATTCACGGCTCTCTCGAAGTCTTCGTGAGAGAGTGACAAAAATGTGCGACGCATTGGGA